CCGAGTCACGGATGGTATGATTGGGGTCAGTAATGCGGCGAATATGGAGAAGGATTGACAGTGAGCAGTAGGAAAATTATCTCCGTGAGTCAATAAATTTGAGAACCGTTGAGAAAAAAGGAAATATTCTTATTTCAAATAGTCAGGCGCACAACAAGAAGAAAAAGAAAGCGCGAAATTCCTTTAGAAACCAATCAAGTAGTAAACTGATTTCAAGCATGGAAACATTTTTCAATAGCTGTGAGTTTTCTTAAAACCTAAGATATTTTTTAAATTAGCGCTGTAGTTCAAATATAGAACTGAAGTAAATAGCTCCAATAATTCTACGAAAGCATCGTATTTTTACTAGCTATAAACAATTAAACACTTATGGAGAACTATTTTAATACAAGAACGTTAAATTAAAATTATCTCTTCTGAGAAGGTACGACAATTAGAGTTCTCATAAGACAAACATGTTGGTATGATGAAAAGAAACACTTTCATTGACCAATTAGAAAGCGAGGCACATTTATCCCTGCGATCAACATTCACTACTATCATAGCTCATCGTTTCTTATCAAAAAGAATTAACAAAGAAATATTTAAGTCATACTGTCTTCTGTGAGGAACAACTCGTTCTTTCTGTCTGGTCATTGTTCCTCAATACGAATTCATGTTTTCTCTATGCTAAAGCCTTTTTCCGCTAGTTTCTACACTTTTCTAAAGAGAATATATGTTGATATGTATTTGTATATATATTCATGATGATCAGCTGTCTTCAATGTGTAAAGGTGTAATATTTCGACTGATTGATAAAGTCACATTGTTGACCCGAACGATATTTTTTCGATGAAAATGATCATTTTTTCTACCGATCAGATTATTGTTCACTGCTGCCAAAATGAATAATCATAATTTGTAATATTTTGAAGAAGTTACAAAACAAAAAAAAGACTTTAATGTAATTAATGCTTATACACCTTGTAGAAAAATAGAAGAAATAAATTTCTTCAATAAAACAAAATAATAGTTCAAATGCATTTTACATATCATTGAAAATATTAGTAATTAGTAAATAATTAGTTATCATTGTTCAGATCCATTAATTGATGAATTATACCATCTGTATAAACGATTCAAATATGTATGAACAATGTTGTTTATATAATTATTACCACTTTCTAAATTGTAAATAATTGAATATTGGTTTGCATTATGCAAACGATAAAGTCGGTGACAAATTAGAAAAATTCCCTTTAAATATTCATTGATAGCACCAGCGGTATTTTCATTAAAGTAAACAAGTCATCTGGATGTACTTATATGCATCATTAGAAGTGTAATTGAAATAGTTAATTGTATAAAATGAAATAATAATATACAAATCATGATTTAAAGAAAATATTATTTGTCTGTAATCTCTGCTTGGTCGCTATGAATCAATGTCCGATGAAGAAATAGACACACGTTTGTGATAAGAATAGACAAAACGTCTAAGTGCGTAGACAAAAGCAGATGAACGTTATACTTAGTTCAAGCACATGTACGAGGTTGTTCGAAAACCTAGTGTCAAAGGATCCAATTAGCACAATATCTTTGTTTTATAATTTTCATAGAATCTGATGAGACAGTCATTATTTCAAATATCATCACATCAAACTAGAATAATGCAACACGGAGATAGAGTATCCGTACCTGTGTAGGTATATGAAATTAACGGGCGCAAGTAAGGTATGGATATGAAAAGTAACGATTTGTAGAGATACAATCTTCATTTTTAACAGTACAATTCCTTTAAGAAATCTGAAAATAGGTGTTCTTAATGCTAGAAAACACGAATTTCTCAATACTGACTTTAATTCAAAACTTTTTCTCTTTTTCTCTCTTTTTATGCGTAGATAAAAGGCATTCATATCATTATAAAAATAAGTTCATTTCTCATTCAATATAAACGTAATTGTGCATCCTGTTGCCTAAAAATCAAATCAATTATCTCATGAACAGACATTTCTTCTTCCCGATGATCCAAAATTATTATAATCATAAAAGATATTTTTATAATACTGATATTTCATCACTGGCGAGATCTATATATTTTATCTTTACTTCAAGTTCACATTTCTAATGTTGTACAATATTTTCTCATTCATTTATTTATCATAGATATTGACATTGGATTACCATGGATATTTTTCATGCATCATCAATCATTATTATAAATAAAGAAAAAAAAAATCAATATAACAAGTTATCTGTAATCTATTCCTATATTTTTATTTATTTTGTCTAACATCCATGCAGTATTACATTTAAAACGAAACTAATACAAACAGGAGAAACTATGTTTGCAACGAAGAGTATATCTGTTTTGTTATTAATCTCTTTTTAAATCAATTGAGCAAGTGCCATTACTCGGTTCAAATTCATAAAAACTTGCCGTGCCATGATAACCTTTTTTAATTGTGTCAATACATTTTTCAACTGATGATTTTTTTACTAATGTTACCGTACAACCACCTTAAAAGAAAATAAAAATCAATATAGTAAAAAAATAATAAAATTTATTTACCAAATCCACCACCAGTCATTCGTGAACCGTATACACCATCAACAGAACGTGCTAATTCAACAAGTTGATCTAATTCTTCACATGATACTTCAAAATCATCACGAAGTGATTCATGACTATCATACATAAGTCGACCAAATTCATTATAATCATTATTAATTAATGCTTTTGCACCAGCTTCTGTACGTTTTATTTCAGTTATAGCATGACGTGCACGTTTATAAATAACAGGTGACATCTTTTCACGAGCTTTTTCAAGTTCTTCAATTGATGATACTTCACGTAATTTTTTATGACCTAAAATTAAACAAATAATATTACCTATGTTTTACAGTCAAAATATATGTCAAATGAATATTGAGGGTAAAGTAATCCATAGATTCTTTTTATTGTATCAATAAGAGATATGAAGATTAACATATGGGAAATGATTGAATAATCAACTAAATGATTAATTCTAATTTTACCTAGAATGTTAGCTGCTTCTTGACAATTTTGAACCCGTTGAGCATATGTACCAGCAACCAATTCATGTTTCACATTTGAATTTGTTACTAAAACACATAATTCTTTATTTTTCATTGGAATCGATTGTGATGTATTATCTCGACAATCAATTAATAAAGCATGATCAGCTTCTGCTATACATGCTGTATATTGATCCATAATACCACATGGTACTTTTGCATATATTTGTTCTGCTTTACAACATAATAATGCTTTATCAACTTTTGATAATGGTTGAAAATCAATTGAAGAATGTTGATAGAGTAATTCAAGAAATGTGCACATAGCTACTTCAATTGATGCTGATGAGCTAAGACCACCACCTATAGGTACAGATGTAGCAATAATTATTTGAAATGGTTGTTTTTTATTTGGTTTAGTACGTTCCAAAAAAAGAGCAAGTACACCAACAACATAATTAGCCCATTTAGGTGATTGAAATTGTGAGATTTCTTTTGTTAAATCAACTTCAATTGATTTTGGTTCATCGACATCATCTTTTAAAATAAAACAAAAGAAAAAATAATTCTTATGAGCAAGTCTAGGATTTCGGTAGATAAGGACGAATCAGGACACAGGGGAGGTGATTATAGGATTAAAAACAAATTATTTTCAAAGTTCATTAACAGTAATACCAGTTCATTTTTGAATCTGTTCTATTAAGAAAATTAAAACCATTTTCGCAAAATAAAGGAAGTGATAATCCCATTTCAAAATTTGCCATTGAATAAATAAATAATATTTACTTGATAATGTTCGAATATAACATTTATTATTTACTGAATCATCTAATCCTTTTCCAATAATCATTGTACCAAGTGGTATAGCCATAGGAAAAACAAACCCATCATTATAATCAATATGTTCACCTATTAAATTAACACGACCAGGTGCAAATGCGCATATAGTTGGTTCATCATTAGGAAATTCTTTTTGATAAGAATCAAGAAGATTAGTTTTAAGTTTTTTCAATGTTGTTATCTTTTCCGATACCATAATGCACTTGAAATAAAAACTAGGTCAAGGACTAAAAGTACTATCTATTTTTACAATGATGATCTGATACTATTATATTGAAGATTTTTTATTGGTTCGATAGAAAGACCAATAAAAACTATTGTTTGTTTTATTTTATGATGATCTAATTTCTGAAATATTTCAAAAATAGTCAAAAAAAACTTCAATGGCAACAAATTCTGTTTCATCAAATATTCCAAAAAAATCTATAAAAGATTTTAAGTTTATTAAAGAAATTGGTAATGGTTCATATTCAACTGTAAGAATAAGAAAAAGATTTGTTTTTGTTTTTTTTATTTTTGATGTCATTTAGGTATTTTTTGCTATTGAAACAGCAACAAATCGTGAATTAGCAAGTATAAATTATTTTTCTTTTTACTTATTATTATTTTTTCATAATAAATTTTATTTTATTTTAGTTAAAGCAGTTAATAAAGACTTAATAAAACGATTAAAAAAAATTCCACAAGTTTTTCGAGAAAAAGAAATTCTAGCACTATTAAATGATTGTGATTATACAGTTAAACTTTATTGTACATTTCAAAATGAAACTACTCTTTGTAAGTATTAGATAGTTTAATAATTTTCTGATAATTTATTTCTCATCTTTCACTGAATTTTCCCTATCAATGAATCGAATTTGTCTAAAATTAATATTTTATTTAGATTTTGGTTTGACATATTGTTCGAATGGTGATCTTCTTCAATATATAACTGATGCTGATCATTTTGAAGAAAATATTGTACGATTTTATGCTGCTGAACTTGTTGAAGCACTTGAACAATTACATAAACGACATATAATTCATCGAGATCTGAAAGTAAATAAAAAAAAAAAAAAAACAAGTTTTTATTTCGATTTTGGATATGTTCTTTTTTTTTACAGCCGGAAAATATTCTTTTAACTGATGATATGCATATTCAATTAACTGATTTTGGTTCAGCTGTTATTATTGATAAAAATGAAGTATCTCAAACAGATAATAATGATAGTCAAAATGGCGACAACAAATCAGTACAACGAAAGAATTCATTTGTTGGTACAGCTCAATTTGTAGCACCAGAAATTCTTCAACATGGTTCGATTCATATTGGGTTGGTTGAAATTTTAAAATATCATTTGATTAGAAAAATATTTTTTGATTTTTCTACTTTTAGATCAGATTTCTGGTCACTTGGTTGTGTTATTTATCAAATGGTTACTGGTAAGCATCTATTTCATGGCTAGTAAGTTATGTTTTATTTGATAAGTAAAAAGTAAAATTTCTTTGAATTAGTTTAGTCATGAATATGATATTTTCAATGCTGTTGTTCGTGTTGCTTATAAATTACCTGATAATTTTCCAAATCTTATTGCTGATCTTATACAAAAACTTATTGTACGTATTCCAATGTAACGTGTTTGCTTCGAAAGCTTTCGAAGTTTCACCAATTAGATGTGGATTAAAAGAATTCTTACTGATTACTTTGATGAGTGTAAGCTATATAGATATAGGATTTGTTGCTAAAATGAAAAATTTTCTACATGATAAAACTTATTATAGATTCTTTGAGAGAGAATATTCTATATAAAAAAATTGCATCTTTCGGTGTGACTTTCAAAGTGTCAGAATAAATATTTGATAGAAAATGTCGAAATACAGAGAAAAAAGTTGTTTCCAGACAAATCTACGCTATTGTTTTTGATTGATTAAAAAGTAGCCTAAATGTTTCAACTCTTTAAGTGAACTCATATAGTTTAGAATTTAATTGTGCATCTAATGATATGAGAATCAGCATTTTATAGGAAGTGGCTCACTTGTAATTAGATCATTTTTTCATAATACATTTAAAAATATCTTCAGATTTTAGCTCGTAACTTTTTTCTCTTGAGGGAAAATATGAAGGTTGAAAGCATTTAAAGCAAAAAATTCTCTATCCGTTGATATACAGTTCGACCATTCAATAGATTTTAATCTCATAGTTTATCTCTGCATAAAAAATCTGTGAAAAACAAACTCGATAGTTTTGTAGAGGATTAAATTCCGCAAATATAAAAAAATAAATGTGAGACATGTATTATGGAGTATCCGTTATATATCAAAAAGTTTCACCGAACGGTTGTTCGTGCACGTGGATAAATACTGTATCTCTCGTAAGCTATGATATTTATATATGCCAGTAATACTAACTTCAGCTCTCATCATGTATTTCATATTAATATTGCTTCGTGACAGCTTGCGGATGCTCATCCTACTTTCGTTAACATACTCCTGAACTTTCACTGTTACCGAAATTCCGACCATCCTTGTTTCGCACTAGCACCAGTATACTGCGGTACTTATAAGAATTGATAGTATATCGATAGTAGATTGCTGGTCAGAAGATAGCTAACTATTTAAATATCATACAGTTGTCACTTGGAGATGTACGGGACCAGTCTTGATCCCGAACATTATGATCGAGATCGGAGCTCAACTTTATAGTAAAATATTCTATGATTTCAAGCAAATTATCATATGAACCAGAATATAATTTATGAGAGATGATCTGAAAAAGTGCTAGTCGTCAGCTAAATAAATCAAAAGACGATTATTGAAGAGTTATTTTCGATATGATACAAATTCTGAGATGATTTTCTCTAGGCTGAAATAAGGTCCGAGATATAAAAAACTCTTGATCCTGCACATCTCTATTACCAGTAAAGCACATACTATGCTGACGGTCTTTGTTCGATTCGAATAACATAGGGCTTCTTTTTATTTCGTTTTTTTTTAATGTTTGTTTTCTGTCTAGCGTTTGGAACCAGCGGAACGACTTGGCAGTGAAGAAACAGGTGGAATTGATAAATTGAAAGCACATCCATTTTTTAGTACGGATTCTTATGATACTAAATGGGGTAATTTATTGAATCAACAATCACCACTTGAACCTAAGGCGAAACTTAGTTCAAGGCCAAAGATAAATAATGATAAGGTATAAAAACAAAACAAAAAAGAAATGGACAATTGATGCTTTCTTAGAACTCTTTTAAAATAAAGAGTTTAGCTAATTGTGCTATTGACTGGTTATTGTTGTATAAAATGGAATTTATCTTTTAGTTCAAGATTTGTTTTTTCGTTGACAATGCGTAAGAGAATTTCATTAAATGTTTAGTTTAATTCTTAAAAGAAAGTGACTGAATAGAAGTGAAGAATACATGATTTGATGCTTTAATTAATTTTTTCATCTTTAGTTTGTGTTTAATATCTTCTTTGTTGTTTTTCTTGTACTTTCATTTCATTTCTTTTCTTTTGTGTTTTTATCAAATTATTTTAAATATTAGACGAGAGTTTAATTTGAATGGATTACTTTTAAGAAGCAACGAAGTTCTTTTTGTTTTATATGCATGTTTTATTCGAATATTAAACAAAATAAAATTGATACTTCGATTGAATTACAAGCAAAATTACTGCAGAAGAAAAGTTATTTACTCAATATAATCCAATGAAACAGATAGAAAATTTTGATTAATGTATGCATCTAAGATTCTAAGTCTTCCTATTGATTGACTCATATCGAACATAAACAAGAAGCTCTTCACTATAATACTCTATATGTCAAATGTTAACGAACTAATCGTTGTGATTAAATTTCATTTTACATTTAGTCGATTAAAATAATCTTTGTTGGTTAATGTTGAGAACTGACTTGACCTGTTCGAAACTATCTATAGATTTTCATTATGCATCAAGAAATATACTGTTGACAAACAGGTTCATTTAGAATCTTGAAAATCTCTTTCGTGCATAGGTCGTTGTATCAGAGATGAAGTCGATCTGACCGGTTTATATACTGAAGTTTTATTTTATAGTGGCTTTACGTAAGTGATAAACCTACATAATAAATCTGGAGACTTTAATCGATTATTTTGAAAAATGTTCAATATGAGACTTTTCATTAAAAAAAAAACATATGAGTAGAATAGAATACTAACACATTGGTTTATATGTCATTACTCAATTCATTATTTCTTTTCATATTCTAATCTGAAAAAAGCATAGAATTTCTTTATTGATAAAAATGATTTCATTGTAAGAGTTTCTTGACTTATTTCTGAGATAAAATATTGTTTTCATAAACGGATTTCACCTTGGTCGAACACATATTAGCCTGAGAATACTTTTTTCTGATTCGATGATCAACCTATTTATCCATAATGACTGTTTAGTTAAAATTTTATGATATAAACCAAAGATGATACTCATCTAGTGTTTTGACGGTCGGTACCGGTTACATTTCTGATTTATACTTCTTATTTTAATAGTAGTTAGAATTATATCAGTGTTAGTTCCGAAGTTCAGGTGAACTGTCTAAAAGAACTGCATGTTTCTATTTATTTTTTGATACACCGAATTATTTGAATAGGTTAGTTTATTTGAAAAGAACTTCTTTAAAGTGCTTGACATTGAAAATGGTATGTAACTATTATAACTGTCGATAACAACATATATAAGGGTGATTATTTCGATATCAAAGATCAATATAACTACTTGAATGTACAATTGATTTACTTCTATGAAAATGTGTTAATAGAATTTTATAACATAAAATACTCGAAACAAACATGTCTATCTGTCTGATTTTGAAGCATGATTTTATCTATTGTTCGAAAAAGTTTTATTAAATTAAAACTGCAGCAACAATACTAAATTATATTTATTTTTATCTCTCTTCGGCTTTTATAATGAGACTCCGTCATTACGTGGGTCGTTCATCTTTCGATTCTATCAATAATATTTCATTTTTGTGATTCCATTTAATCATCACGTACCGACGATATTGATATCTGCATGTAAATATTGAGTGATAAGAGGATCGTGCTGTCTGAACACAGAACAAAATACATTAATGAACATGAATCTGCACGGAACAACTATTATGCGTATAACCAAATATGAAAATATATCGATTTTTATTTATCTATTATGTTTTGATTCTGAAATAGAATTGAATAATAAATTTAAAGATGTTTATTTTTAATTCTTGGGGCTAAGCTGGATGCTACCAAGCGGGTCCACAGGTTGCGGATAGTGGAACGGCCATTAGTATGATGGTTAGCTGCGAATAAGATCAAGCGATTGATCAAATAAACAGTCCCGGACNATATTGATATCTGCATGTAAATATTGAGTGATAAGAGGATCGTGCTGTCTGAACACAGAACAAAATACATTAATGAACATGAATCTGCACGGAACAACTATTAGGCGTATAACCAAATATGAAAATATATCGATTTTTATTTATCTATTATGTTTTGATTCTGAAATAGAATTGAATAATAAATTTAAAGATGTTTATTTTTAATTAAAAAAAGTCGGAAGTAAAAATGATTTCCAAAATCATTTATATTAATCTATAGAAAATAATAGTTTAATATTTACAATATATTTGTACGATTTCAAATAACTTAAATGGTATATAATATGATAAAATGTCCTTGCATAAGGATCCAAGTCAAAAAAAAAATACAATTCGTATATGTAAATCGATGATATATAGTGGTGAAGCCGAAAGCATTCCAGCTCGCTCTTGGCAAGAATTTTGAAAGATGTGTTTTTTTCTGATACAAAAATGTGTTAGTCTTGGCCATGAAACCTAAGATATATGCTTTAAAATTTTTCATTGCAAAGACTACTACATCTTTCAAAAATCTTGTCCGAACGGAAGCTGACCCCTTATCCTAAAAACCAGATCCCGCCACTGACCGTACATCATCAGAATATTGGATGCAGAAATACAGTCATCGAATGCTATATATTGAATATATTGTTGTTGAAGATATTTTCTTTCTCATTCATACTTCATATAAAGTACGATAGAACAAATGAAGAATTGATGAATAACACGAAAGAAAAAAAAAAGGTTATTTGATAAAGTTACAAATACGTTGTTTTATACAATTACAAACACTAGATATCAGTTTTAATGATCATATTGTGTAAATATAAAATATGAAAGAAAAAAAAAAATATTGAATTGAAAAAACTTTAATATGCAAATATATTCAATTTTTATCTTTATTTAAAATAGAATTCTTCGTATAAAATGTATTAATTAATAATATTTGCGTTACTAAATAATTAGCTATAAATATTAGACAAATTTTATATGATGAAAAGCAGTTTAATTAATAATTAATACCTAAAATACACATCTTCATTCATTGGATAATAACGATGTTTTGTCGTAGTTCTAACAACATTATTTGTTGGTAAATAAGTAGATCTATATATTGGTCGTTGTTTTGTACCATTTCGATTACTAATATAACCTTCATAATTGACTGTTCGTCGATGTCGACTTTGTCTTGAATCATCTTCATCATCACCGTCATTATCAATATCTCGCCATGAACTATAAAGTGGATAACTAAGATTTTCAGTTGAATATACTCTTCGCATTGGACTTGATGGTCGACGAATATCACCACCATCATATTCTCGACGACGACTTACATGTTCATGTCGTCGATAATGATGTTGTGGATTAGTTGATATTGGTGATTGAATTCGATTATATTCAATCATTGTTCTATTTGGTACTGTTGTTAATTGTGATCCAGATGAAAGAATTCCATTATCACTATAATAAAATTCACGTTTAAGTGGTGCTTCAATTCGTAATTGACCATTTTCCAAATATGATATAACTTTTGATAAATCAACTGTATGTGGTAATGAAATTTTACGTGAAAATTCTTTTGATATACGTTCTTGTGTTGGATCTTCTAATTTTGTTCGTTTAGTTTTACCTTGAACAATTAAATCATGATCTTGAATAAATACATCAAGTTCATCAGCTGTATAACCATGACAATCAATAAGATATTCCAATTTTTGATTATTACCAAAAGATTTTCTACTTGGTTTAATATCATCATATATTAATTGCGAAGCACCTGTTGACGATGTTAATATATCAGGTGAACGAATTAAATGTGTCGATGTATGGTTTGTATTTATATATGATGAAGACGAACGAGGAATTTCAATAATTAAACTATTTGTATATCGTTCAACATAAGATTTTAAACGATCAATATCAGCATCGTATGGAATTGTAAATGTTTGAATAGCTATATTATTTTTATTATTTAACGAAAGATAATCAGATTTAAATTTATGTCGACGACGTGCAGTAACAATTAAACGACCACGTTGGGATTTATCAATTGCATAATCACATTTTTTTGATCCAAATGGACATTCAACAACAATACGTGTTACTGATGAAGATGAAGGTATAACATCAGTTGTTGGTATTGGTGATTGCCAACCAGATGCATGTATATTATCCGATTGTCGACGAGGAACATAATGTGCATCATCCGAATCCGAATAGTATCGACTCATAAGCAAAAAAGAAATACTTATTCTTTAAAGTATCAAAAAGAATAACATAGCAGCTTTGATAATTCCACCTACGCTCATTTAAAATACATTTGAAAGCACTATTAAACAACGATTCGACTCTATATATATTTATAGTCATTATATAGCAACTTAAAATGTTAATATAACCTTCTTCGAATACATTTTTTTGTATGCTTTTTTTTTCTAATCGATTTTTTTATCCCAAAAAAAAAGTGAATCATAGTATGTAAGACTATGATCTTTTACATTTTTTTCTTTCTGTTTTGGTTATTACAAAACATATGAAAGCTGATTTCTTTCATTGCTTATATATAATCGTGTTCAAAAAAGAATTTCATTATCTTAACGTCATCGAAGATATAGAATCTTTCTTGGACCTAACAAATTAAACATAATTCAGTTTATTGGTAAAAATCTTTTAGTATAGTCTTTTATGAAATCAAATTATAAAACTTGCGAAGTTATGTTTATATATATATAAAGTAAAACTTTTCAACAGTAGAAACTCTTCAAAAATGTTCATTATAGAGAGGTTAACTATTTCCAAAAGTTAGTTTTTTTCAAAAAAAACAGACACGTTCTTCCGCATATCTCTAGAACTCAACAGTTTGGTAACATAATGTTTGATACAGTTAGCTAATTATTATTGAAAATTGAGAGACAAGAATATGTAGTTTGAGCTGTTGAATGGATGCTAGAAGGTAGGTCTGTTATCGAAATGAAACCAACAGATCAACCAAGCAATATAGAAACGATTTCGTTCAAAGTTACAGCGGTCTCATTCTTATTGCGTTTTGAAAAAGAGAACTTTTTAGTTCAACAGTAATCAATGATTATGATCTAAATAAGGATGATAGTGAACGTGAGTTCCATCATCGTTCACTTCTTTCATCTTTTTATCAGTCAGGCGCAACTCATGGCTCTATTATGTAATGATTAATTAATCAGAGTATTTTCTTTTCTCAAAACATAACACGATTGAGATCAATGTAACTCTCTTCTCAACCAGCTTCCATTATACATTGACTAGCACGCCACTAGTTGAAAACAAGAATGAAAACATTTATATCAATAAACTCGGTAGTTTTTGACTGCAAACAAGTGATTTTAACCATCCTGTCCAAACGCTTAAAAATGGTGTCCATTATACAGAGATTAAATTCCAGAAAAAAAATCACTCCGTCGAACTATGAAGTGTGCAGTATGGAAATGTTTCTTGTACTCGAGGCAAATAGATCTTGATAAGTAAAGAAAAAGTTGTCATAGACTTCGGATTGCCAGACACTTCTTTCAGAGAGATATATGAAGCTCACAAAAGCGAAAAATAGTCACAACTTTTCCTTAAACAGCAGTTTTTTTTATTACATTTAGGATCAAATCGGAGTGCGTGTATTTTTTCTTGCAAAAGTATCCTTCCTACAGCTCAGGAGAAGCAAAATGTTGAAATTTAAAGGCTATCGAATTTTGTAGCAATAGCATTTTGAGAAAGAAAAAAATACGCGCTCTTATTCGACTAAGGCATTCATAAAAAGAAATTTGAGCCCGATCGAGCATACCGTGTGAGAGAAGAGAAGGAAAACTTCATTTTTCTTGTTCAAAAATGGATTTTGAGTACAACCAGAAACAAACTTTGGTACATGTATCAGAATCTATGTCTTCGACTAAAGTGATCGGAAACTGGTTGTGTTCAGTGATGTTAGAGGTCATGATCTATTGTTGCAGTACTTTTGAAATAAGAAATAATCATTATCATTAGTGAAATTTTGCATACGAAAAATAATCGTAGCATGAATTCTTTGGTAGAAATTTCGAGAGTTGGATTTAATAAAAGTACTAACTAATAAACAAGAGCCTTGATTTATATGATATTTGACAGAGAGCATCTCAAAGCTATATTATTGATGAAAAACTTTTGATTTTAATACAGAGAAAGGAATAGGATGTCCTTAAGTTTTCTTATTATTTCTGTGCAAAAATTTCATAACGACGTAATTCTTTCATAATATATATAGAAAGCATTTTTGAAAAAGAAATATGTAATTTTGCATGTAAAGTGGTCTATGTAATAAAGTGATGACAATATTGGATTTCTCTTACTTGTCTTAAATGATGAAACACAAATTCTTTTTTTAGTTTCAATCCGTCAAAAAAAGTTTATTTAACATAACTGTCATTTACAACATAACATGCATGATGATGAATTATAATTAATACATTCTATCATCATGTGATCTTCGTCACGCAATAATTAATATATAATATTATTTTTCATAATTCAAAAACCACAAGATATATTTTATTTTATATGTTGATTTCACTTATAAGTTAATTAATAAAATGACACATATATATATAGAGAGAGAGAAGATTTAACATCAAAGATACGAATGTACAATTACATGATTTTTTTCTTTTCGTCGTGAATAATATTATTTTATTTTCGTATTTGAAAATATTTTTTACAGAAATTCAAGAATTAATATCCGCATTGTTGATTATCGTCGGCCACTATCCCAACCGCGTCGTGCTCGTTCTTCTAAAATAAGAATATAATGATTAATTTAATTTGAAAATTTCTAAAAATATTGATCTAATCATTTTTTTAAAAGATTTATTAGTATATATCGAATAGTTCTATAAATTAAAAAACTCATATTATCGATTTCATTTTCAAATGATAATGATGGTACATAAAATTTTGTTGTAACGAAATTTATTGTGGATGTTTGATTAAAAAATGAAAGAATAAGTTGAAAGACTTGAATTAATTGAATTTTTTCATCTGAAGAATATTCAAATGATTGTTCATTAGAGTTTATATCAATAAATGGTAATAATAATTGAAAAAGATCTGATATTAATTGAATATCACGATATTTATCTTCATTATTAATTAAATAAATAAGATATTGAAAAACTAAATGCCAATCAAGTTCATAGATAATTGTTTTAATAAGAAGTGTTTTAAAAAAATAACGTAATTCATTTGAAAGAAAATGTTCATTTCTCATTTGTTGTTAACTTCTTTTTTTTTTATTGTTTTCAAAAAAAAAAACTTAAAAATAAACTACGCGCTTAGATATTTTTCTTACCATCAATAAATTGATAGTTTTCTTGCCCAATATCATCGTACATATCTGATATGCCAGGTTCAGTCATTCGTAATATTGGATAATCTTGTTCATATTGATTATTATTTTGATAACTTGGATAGGCTATTATTGCAGTTGAGAATAATAAAAGTAAACCAAAGAAAATAAATTTATAGCAGAAATTCATTGTTGTACTTATAATTTAGTTTTTTCAAGTTACTCTTATATGGGGGTGATTGATGCTTAAATATATCTTTTTTTTTAATACACATTTCTATTTTGGTTTCATTTATATATATATATATATATTATAAAGTGAAGTGGATTTGTCGTCAGGCTTTGATTATAATTCTTTTTTTACACCTATACACGCTTACTTCATCACAAAGCTATTTAACAAGATTCAAAACCTATTAGAAGAATTTCTTAATGTTCTTATTATATGTAATAAAATTATTATTTAAGATAAGTATAGATTTTCTTAAAATAAAACTTTGTTTTACTTGAATATTTTTAGTAAGTTCTTAGATTATGAAAAAACAAAACTTGATATACCAAAAATATTGATAGTTTGGGTACTAATACGAAAGTTAAAAAGGAAACAATTTTAGAATTTGTTATTGAAGAAATTTTGTCTTAGAGAGGAAGATTTCCATTAGCAGGTGTGGATATTGGCCTTCTCTACTCTCGTACACAGATTTAAGGGTTGGTACCATCTACTTAATACAAATGTTATTCCGTCCACTTGAAACTTCTATATGGTGATTGATGATGAATTAAAGATTATGTATTCAACGTGACTACGATGAAACAACTTGATAATAATATGAAAAAGTCTTCACAAAATAATAAAAAAAAAAAACAATTTTTTGAAATCGAACGCTTTTTGTAGTTGCTTTATATTTTATTAAAAGTTTGATTTTAGTTTCGAATTGGTTAACATTTTAAAATCGATTATCAATTCCACTTCATTGCAAATATCATCACATGTAGATTGGTTGAATTAAGAAGCATATCATTAAGTTCATTAATTTCTTTCCTTTTTGAAATATCTACAACTTTCAGATTGATGTATTTCATAATATCTGTAATATTATGTTCTAGTTATGATTGGAATTGTGCATTTTTTCAAAATGATCATATCTCTTAAAATTATTCTTTTTTAAAACAAGTACTAAAAAAAGACAAAGAAAACTGCTATAATTTTTTTGGACCCATAAGACATTTATCATGACATACTATTGACATAAATACAAAATCTTTCATGATCAATGATTATTCATTTGTATTCATGTTTTATCCAACGCATGACATGAGTAAAGTAAAACCCTTCCCCACTCTTGAAGTTCTTAGTCATTCTGTCAAGCATTGCATGTTTGCTATTATGTAAAAGGAAAGAAAAAAAAAGTCATTCATACATTTCTAACAAATGTTTGTTTAATAGACAAGTGAATAAAATTTATTGGCTAAACAAAGTCTCTCATAAGCAAAAAAAAAAGAAAAGTGAAAAGATTTAATTAAACAAACTGTTCTCTACGAATGGTAATTTTAATAATATATGTATATATATATATATATATGTATGATTATGATCATTGTTCACTATTAATATTATTATTATTCATTTGATGAAGTACATCATCCATCTGTATACGTTGTAATGGATTTGATGACACTCGAATTTCATTGATAAATAATGATGGTACAGTTGATGGTGTACTTATACTTTTAGATGGATTGAGATATTTACCTATCCAAGACAGAAGTTTATCACTTGTATTATTATTTTTAGATGATGAATGCGATGCTAATGATAAAGTTGATGTATTAACAGCTGATGATGATGCATTAGGTAAAAGATGTGCTAAAAGTTGTCGACATAATTTATAAAAGAATTGACTATGTGTAGTTTGAGACATTGTAGCTGTATGTGTAGATGATGGTAGTTCAGATGTGTTAATAGATTCAATAATCATTTGATCTGATGTATAGAATGCATCATAATTATCAATTGTTATATCAGCATCTAAAGAAGTATAATCAATTGGTTCGATTGTAGTTATATCAATGAATTCTGTATTATTATTTGTTTGTTCAATTAAATTTTCTGTTGTTATATCATCGATGATAGTATTATTATCATTTAACCATTCGATTGATGTTGAAGTTATGTTTGTATCTAATTGTTCAGTAGCATTGATAATTTCTTGATTACCAATAAGATTTAAAGATGTAGATTGAATTTGTTCGATTCCTGTTGTTGTCATATTTTCTATAATCATAGAAGTAGATGGCATATCTATTTCAGAATTTGTTAAGAATGTAGTTGAATAATCGAATGGAAAACTTTTTTCAGTTAATTCATATGTATTCATTTCTATTGTCGATGCTGTATTCATATCGGGAAAGATTTTTTCAAGTTGAATATTTTGTGCTTGTATAACATGTTCTGTTTCAGTTAATTCATTTTGATGAGTTATTAAAGCAGATTCTATGGGTGTTGATGTTATTGGCATTGACGTAGTACGAGTCGATTCATTTGAATTTAATAAACCAATAAAATCTACTTGCTCATTTCCTGAATTACTTGATGATTTCTGTTTTGCTTTTATACGATATGCTTCTTTTAACATATCAAATAAAACTCTTGTATGTGCAGGTAGAAGTGCTACAATGATATAATAATAATAAAAAAAAAATATATATATTCTTTTTTAACACTTACATGACCATATATTAGGTTCATTTTTTGGTACATGTTCTTCACATGTTGGACCCATATAATCAAAATAACATCGACATTCAAATGATGTTAAACTTTTTTCAATACATAAACCTCGATTACCACATGGATTTTCTTGACAAATACCTGATGTATATATACATATCAAATTATAATTAATATACAAAATAAATAAATAAATAAATAAAGTTTTAGTTATTTTTACCGAGTTGTTTTTCACATAAAGCTCCAGTATAATTAATTGGACATACACAAAGATATGTATATGCTGATCCAAAACATGAACCTCCATTCATACATGGCATTGACCAACAAAGATTACCTATAAATATATATTTCTAAAAACCTGAACTATGTTCACATTCTTTTTTTTTCTCACCTGTTAGCCAATAAGCATTAGCAAAATAGATAAGTTTATTGACTACAATAAGTAGCCACCAGATTGATACTGCTTTCATAATGGCACTTTCAAAACAATATGATCAGTCATCGTTATCGATGGCAGGCGTATGTTACCATCATTGAGTATTGTTCGACAACAGACAAAACAAAATTACACACGTTCAGATCAAATAACATACGCTTCTATAAGATTCATTGATGTTTTACTGCATGAATATTCCTGTTTACTATATGTGCGTGAACAATACATGCATACTTACATGCGTCGGGACGGGAACGGAACGAATAAATACATGCGACAGCCAGCTCGGATTAGTTTATTTAGAGATCGTGTAATGAGGTATAAAAGTAACAGATGATCCCTCCTCTATCAGTCTGCTCCAATAATGAGTGAGAGAAAGAGCGAGAGAAAGAGAGCGAAAAGACTGAATAAGTATCAAACAAAAACAAGACAATACAATGGTGGAATCAATAGTATTGTGTGTCTTTTTTTTTCTTTTTTTTAAAGAATTTATTTCGTATTTGATCAATAGATGTATCTCTATTTCACCATCTTTTATGATCAATTACATCATATGGTTTAGATTAAATACACTGATATTATCGTTCGTGATGACACAATAATTCATAGCTTGAATAAACTCTTGTCGTTGAACAACAGATAAAATAACTATGAGATTAGAAAAAAATAATCATCATACGATTAAAAACAATTCTTTTATGACGGTGCAAAGCACTGTTGCAAGTGTGTTCTTCTTGATACTCTTAACTCAAAATCGTTACTTTATGTCACGACTATCTTAAGGGTATATCTGAATTTGGTCGAAAAACAATGTATGAATATAATAAAAGAATTTTTTTTTTAATAAGAGTATTATCGTATTGATTATACAGAATGTTAATACAATGTTGTATGGTTGTTGTTCGAATATTTTTTTTTTCTTATTGCACCAACCGATCATTGAATCGTAATAGATTGAAAAATTCTTGCAAGAATTTGATGAAAGATCATATGTCGGGATTATTTCAAGGGATACGATTTTTCATTCTGTTATAATAATCTGTTAAAAGACAAAAAAACATGTTTAAACTAATGTAATTTTTTTCAAAATATATTAATAGTTGTTGCATTAGATAATTAGATAATTGATTGAAATCAGTTATCACTTGCACACGTGGCATAATTATAGTTTTAGACTGTTATTGTCATCTATTGTTACATTTTTTAAAATAATTTCACTCTGCTGTTTAATGCTCGTAGGTTCAAACAGTAGAACATCACTTTTCAACATTTTAACTTTCGATTTTACCCACAGAAATCAATTTAAACATTGAAGAGTCGTACGATTTTCATTCATTCTCAATTGGTTGCACAAAATGATGATTTTGAAATGAGAACTATGTTTTTTATTTCAGAATAATGAAAACAATTTTCATCAACAACAGTGAGCGTTCATTAGATTTAATGTTGCTATCACCTTTCGAAGATATTCTTAATATGTGTATTCTATTTCTCTCACAAAGGAATTGTCCGAACTGTAACTCCTCATGTGAGCCGAAGATGAGCACAGGACAGGACAGGACAAAAAAAGTTGTCCTGTGCTCATCCCGGGTTTGAGCTCATATTGAGTCCACAAGAAAGTTTCAGTACGATCAGAAAAGCTTAAAAGAACGTGTACTTATGAACATCTATAGCAGAGATATAACCATTGTACTGAAATGTCGACCTACAATTTAGTTGATAGATAGGTCTAATGGCGCTTAAAATATCTTGAAAGCTTTAGTCGAAAGCAATGCTTCTTTGTCAAGATAATGAACTTCCGACAAATAATCTTTTGCCACAGACATTGAGTTTCCTTGAGAATTCAATATCTCGACAAAGGAACATTCTTGTCGGCTGAAACTTTCAAAATAACCCACGAGCCGTTAGATGTATCTATGGGGAAAATTGCTGGTCGAAATCATGTTATTTAGTTTTTCAGTAAATATCTGAAGTATGAGTTCAAACGGGAAGTAACAGTTCAAATAGTTTCCTCCTTATTGATAGAGAATGAACACGAATTGGAGACAAAACAAAAATGAATGAAAACTTAGTCAAGAACATTCGTGTACCAGAATACTATACATTTCATGTTTTTTTTTTAAATACAATGTCTATTGATTTTCAATTAGTACAAAATACAATTTGTTTCCTGATAACCGATCTGTAATGTATATAATTAAATATTCATTAAAAGAAACATGTTTTTTTCCATTAAATTTGACATTTCAATTAATTCAAAAGTTTTATAACTTCATAAACGATGAGTTCAATTAGAGAATATGCTTCGCATCAACATAATAGCTTTGAATATTAATTGTCAAAAGATAACACTTTTCCTAATTATATAATTGCCCCAGATGCTGACTCTTCGATATTTTAGAACATATATATTCTTATGTTTAAATTCAATTGCATTATAATTTAAAAATATTAGCAAAAAAAAGTGACTTTTCCAACTAATCATATGCTCTGAAATATTTCAACTGGATTTTGATAAAAAGCTAAGAATCGTTTGTATTTGTATTGCATAAGAAAAAAATCCATCAGATGAAGTTATAGAGAAAAAAAAACAGGCAGGACTAGAGAGTTAAACGATACACGCACGAGCAATTAAGCTGTACATTAACGTGAAATAAGAAGAAAAAAAAGAGATAGTAGTACATCATATCATCAAATGTTAGTATCTGACTTGTTTTATAAGAAAAGCGCGTATATGAAAAAAAAAAAGAACAGTTCGAGAAAAAGAATAGTTAAATTGATTATCAATGTCATGTGTTTTATCTAATTTGATCATCGATTGGACTATATAAAAAGAAAATATAATATTTAAAAGAGAAAAATAAAAACATGAATTTTTGAAATATTACTCTGTTAATATTTGTTCATCTTTTTCATTGATAAAATTTATTTCAATTGTACCTATTGTTTCTTGTTTATTATCTTCGTCAAATTGATGTAAATTACGACGCCAGGTACGTAATTGTCCATCAAAACAACGTCGTGAACATTTACGATATTTATTTGGTGTTGTTGGATGTTCTCGACGACGTTGTTTTCTATTGAAAAAAAAAAAAGAACAAAAGAAATTTAAAAGAAAATAAAAACTAAGAAATATTTTACTTTATTGGATATTTTGCAAGATAATTAGCGTATGAATCAGACATTTTTCCTTTTAAAATTTCTTTTGTTCGTTGACGTAATGTATGTGGATCACTTTCAACTTCTTGTAAAATTTCATCTTCTGTCATTTCGGCATATTTAGAAAATGTTTTTAAATGACGAATATAACTAAAATAAACAAATCAAAAAAATACATAAATATGATATTATTACTTGAAAATAAGAAGCTGAAGTTTTACTCATTCAATATAAAAACCAAACATTTCTAGCACTTAAACTCCAGCTTCTCGACGTTCGGAAAGTACCTAACCAATTCAGAAATTGTCGAATAATTTTTCAAGAGTTTCTTGAGGTATATGAGTAATCATGCAGGTTTCCTAACGTTCGGTCAAGTTTGGGTTCGAATAGAGACTTTCGGTTTTTGAATAATTTATTCTACTGTATTTAGATGTAGCATAGTCAAACTCGAAATCTTTTCTTTTGGCTTACTTCCGCTTTTCTTTATTAGTTACAACCAAATCCAAACGTTCGGGTATGATGCATGACTATTTAAGACTCTATTCAACAATTTCTGCAACTCAGAAATTATTTTTCTTTATGCTTTTGTCTTCCTAATGAATTACTGTCATGTACTTTAAACAGAAGATAATATCTCTATGCTCTTTCGTTTAAAATTATCTTAAGACATTTTGTCAATAATCCGTATATTTATTCAAAATTCACGAATACTTTCGTCTAGGAATTATCCAAACCGCAAGGGCTGGAAGGCGCCCCGCGTTCTCAATTGTAATACATCTAATAGATTTGAAATATTTTCACAGATATCAGAGACTGTTTGAAATATCTACTTCCTTTTTATCTTCTTTTATTCGAGTAAAAAGATCATGCACCATACTGTAAAATCTCGATGTTTTTTTCTTTATTGAAAAGGTGAAAAACTAATCTTTTTAAGTATATTAATTTTATAAATTTGTATACTTACTTGAATAGATATTCGAGTTCAAGTTCTTCAATTTCAGCAATCATCTTAGGATCATCACTAAAATAACGTTCCGAAGCACGAGCAATATGAGTTAAAGCACGTTTTCGACTACAATAGAATCATTTTATTCAAACATATAAATTCAACTCGTTTACCTTGCATCAGAACTAGCAACCATATCTGATTTGGCACGAATTAGTGAACGACCACTACCAGTTTTCTGTTTTTGATTCATAACACTAACACTTTTACGTAATGTAATACGATCATTGTTATTATTAGTTTTACTAACATTTGTTGTCATGGCACTATTTTCACATAAAGCTGTTTTAAGAGCTGAATCTGCACGAACACTTAATTCGAAAAGTGCATCAATAGATGTTCGACTTGTAGTTGATGTTGAAGGTTCATTTCTATAAATATAACACAAAAATAAAATTCATTTGTTTACATAGACAGGACAGAAGACACTGATTTTAGGTCATATAATATTTTCAGCCACTTTATCAGTGAACCTATGAAGAAAAACTGAGTCGACTCATACTTTTTTAAAAATCATTCGAGCGAGCACTTATTTTCATCGAAAAATATAGCTGGGTTCGCCACAGGATTAGATCAAAGATAATTTCAATCAAAATGCAGGGAAACACGTTCTGGATTTCTCGAAACTTAAGAGAATCTAAAAGACACAATAGATTGATTATTAAGATGATCTGTTCATTAATCATATTTTTTCACTTAATTCTGAGGAAGACCTTCGGTAAATTTTTCGACGAAAATAAAAGTGTTCACAGAATTTTTTAAAAGCATATGGGTCAATTTGTTCTCATATAATCTGCACAATCTAATGAATTATCTATCATTTTTGTAGCTCTCGGTTTTCTCTGTACTCTATCCTCACAGTAATCACTAGAATTTTACTCAAATTTATGACCGAAAAATGCGTCTAATTCTTCTGCATAGGTTCACCAATAATATGGCTGAAAATATTATGTGACTCAAAATCCGTGTCTTATATGTTGCCGTCTTATTTTTACTCCATTGGTGTCCAATCAATAGTTGTTGTATTTATCATTGTTGGAATATTTGCATTGATACGTGTTGTTGACTGGTCAGTTAATTTATCTTCATTTTCACCACCTTCCAAAATAGGCATAAGTTTAATTTGTGATTGTCCTGTAATTGAAATATCATCAAAATTTTGACCATTGCTTGATTTTTTCATCAATGATATATTTGTTGCTGTTGCATTGGTTTTATTTAAATCTCGTGAATCATTCGTACTTATTATACGTGAATAACTTCAATACAAAAAAAAACGAAAAACAATAAATTTTTGTTAATTCAATTAAACAAATAATTATTTATTTACGATCCACTATTGCCTGTATCAATCGAACTACGAAAAACTTCTGCCGACATTGATCGTACAGCTAATGTACGACGTAATCGATTACTAATATTATTATTACTGATACTATCATTTCTTGGTGGAGATCTATAAAAAGAGAAAATTACAAAAAGTAAAATTCTTATTTCTTTAATTGAAATAACAAACCGAGCGCGATTAAAACCAGTGAAAGAAGCTGCAGCATATCGTTGTTGTGCAACATTATCAATATGTACTTCCTATAGAAAACAAAAAAGATTTAATATAAAAAACATCATTTGATTTAAATTGAATAAAAAACAAATTTGTCATACTCGAGCTGCTTTCGGCACCCATAAATCCAATGAAAAAAGTATCTTTTGGATTTGTGCATCAAGTGCATAATCCGAGCAAAGACCCATTAAATCTTTGATACTATACGTAATCATGATTATATGTTCGAAATAAGATCGATGTAAACTAATCGAAAGATATGAAAAAAAAAGTTGTAAAACAAAGACCTCACGAAAAACCTCCCTTTGTTTTTATTCGTTTACTTCATTCTCAAATAATATATAGAGAAGCAACATAAAAGCGATATCTATCAGTTATTTGTTGAGATTCAACTTATGATTAGTTTATTAATATTGACAGTCCAAATCAAATGATTAAATACATACATACAAACAATTTTTCAAAAAGAAAGATCTCATTGAAGCTATCCGAATAGCCAATGACATTCATTGGACCTATCCACCAATCGTGCAACAGTCATGAAATACTTCAATCAATCCACAAAATACCCGACCGCTATACTTATCAACCAACGATACATTTGAAAACGTCAAACCAAATTCACACCCCAAAATTGAATACCAGCTCCTAAAAACATCTTTAAATGTCAACAGTCGATACAGCTAGTTTAGTTGTTGAGAGAAATCATATGAACACCTGAATACAACCCGTCTGAAACTCGCAGAAATTCGTATATGTTATAGCATTGGTGATATCAACTTCATTACAGAAAATTCAATTGAAGTGATGAGTTGCATTAAATTCAGTCTAATTTTTGTTTGTAATTTTTTCTTCATAAGAAAAAACCAATATATTCATGCACGAATTCTATTGCTTTCATCTCATTGTTAGTAACACAGCCATTTTCAAAATCTTTTTTTTGTGTTCCTCTTTAGTGGTGTTTATAAGTTTTACGATATCTATTGGTGAACATATGGTCCAATAGAATCACTACTTTCTTCCGGCTAGATGATTTGGTTCAATGTTTCTAGCGTTAAGTACTCCAAGCAAAAGCAAAGTACCCAAGATACTTACAATGTTTGAAAAGTAGTGCCTTTTGTGCTTTGCGGAAAAAAAACAATATATCTTGAGGATACTTTGTTAATGTTTCATCGTTATGTAAAAGTTGCTCGCTTCTTCTTATGTGTCTTGCGTTGTACTTGAAGGTGAAGCTAAGAACTTTTTTCTTCTTTAGTTTTTAATCGAAGCGAATTCATGATATTCATGATCGATATTTTTAATTCTAATTTTAGATTTGCATATTTTTTTATATTGATCCTCTTCTGCTGCAATTTTTGAACACGAACATTTTTTGAATTAAAAAATGAAATTAATGATAATTCTGGCATGATTATTCTGTCTTTGTTTTTCTCGAATCAACTTTGATCCATGGTACTTTGCTCTAAAAATCAAAGTGCCAATAGATACTTGGTAAATAGAAATGAAGTACTCATTTGTACTCTGTTTTAGATTTCCGTTAGAAACGCTGATCCGGTTGGACTAGCTTCACAGTAGTTTTCACAGTAGTAAAAAAAAGGAAAAATCTATTTCAAAGAGAATGATTGATATATTACCATCATCGCGTGTTTCACGTGCATTTGGTTCTGAACTTGCTTATTCAGATGCATTATCAAATGTCAATAAATTTAATTCACGTCTTTTACGTGAAAGACGTATTCGTTTACGTTTACCATTTGTTGATTCACAAACTCATATTATACAAACACCAACACAAAATCATCTATGGAAACAAGCAACACAACGTCTTATGCCATTTCGTCATGATCAAGTATCAACTTATGCACGTAAAACATGGTTTAAAAAACGACCAAATCCACCATCGACAATAATTCAATCACAAACAACAAATACATATAGTATTAATGAACAACAAACAGATTCTTCAGTAATAAAAACAAATAGTACAAATGAATCTATACAATTATCAATGGAAGATGATCCTCGTATACTTGTACGAGCTGGTGATCTTGGTATTAATAAAAATTGAAGAATACTTTTTTCAAATAGAACGCTTTTTTTCTCTATAGGAATGTCAGATACTGATATTCAAAATATTTCTACAATTGAAAATCCTGCTTTGATAGGTGGTCGATTTACAGGTGGTTCAAGTGATGATTCATCTCAATCATCAGCACCACCAATGACTGGTCTTGTTCAACCTCAACAACCTCATTGGCCACAACATAATACAACATCTCATAATCATCATCTTCAAAGTTATATTCTTGATGGTGATGATGATCCAGATGATATAGATTTTGATGATTATGGTGGTAGTGGACCTAGTACACCTGGTGGGCCATCATCACCTGTATCTTCAATATCACGCTCAAAACGTGGTAGTTCTACAAAACGTTCATCACAAATTGGTTCAAGAAAAAATACTTGTACGAGACGAATATTATTTTTATTTTAAGAATAATTTTCTTTTCTATTTGATATAGCTGCTGGAAATTCTACTAATAGTAGTAATGGAGTAAACAATACTACACCAATTCATACTGGTCATCGTCGTCATCAGTATACACTTGCTGAATTACCATTTGTATGTGAATTTTGTTCAGCACGATATAAGACAAAACCTGGATTACAATATCACTTAGCCAAACATAAAGAAACAAATACAGATAATCGGCCATCATCTTCAACAATTCCAACTGTTGATAATAATGGATCATCATCACCAACATCAGCAAGTATGAAACAAAAATACATGAATGTGTCTATGGATCAACAACATCCGATGTATCCTAATCAATCGATGCCAACTGGCCCCATTCTTCATAATAATACTAGCGGACATTTACCTTCTAATGTTAACGTTCCTGGTATGTCAGCACCTTCTTATCCAATGAATCCTCCTCCTCATCATCAACAACAGCAACAGCCACTTTATGGTATGCCGCCATCTCAATCTCATCATCATTTAATGTCTCCATCAGCTTCAATGCCATTGACTGTTGCTGCTCTATCTGGTTCAGCACCTACTAGCAGTGTTTCTTATTATTCTCAACAACAGCAACATCAAATGGTACATCAACAACATATGATGATGATGCAACAGCAACAGCAACAACATCAACAACAGTTCCAACAACCACTAAAGCAGTCTACTCTGTCATCTGATCCTGCAATGACAATTACAACTGGTATGCAATGTGATTTTTGTGGTGGTGATGAACAAGAAAATAAAACAACAAAACTACCAGAACAAATGATAACTTGTAGAGTAATTTAATTGAAACATGATATGAAATATTGTTCTTTATTTTGATCTGATTGTTTTTCTTTTGTTTTCTAGGATTGTGGTGGTTCAGCACATCCAACTTGTCTGAAATTTACTCCTAATATGGTTCGTCAAGTAAAAACATATGCATGGCAGTGTATGGAATGTAAGACATGTACTGAATGTGGTAATTCAGAAAATGATTCAGAACTTTTATTCTGTGATGATTGTGATCGGTAAGTTTCTTTCTTATTTATAATAGCTTGTTTTGATCTTATATTATTTTTCTTGTTCAGTGGTTATCACATGTACTGTTGTTCACCACCATTATCAAAAGCACCCGATGGTGATTGGCGATGCAAATTATGTTGTGCTCAATTTGGCGAACTTCGCTTTTGATTTATTCGTTATTGGTTGCCTTTCTTTTTTTATTAATTTTCTTATGTATTCAATCCTTCCAATATTGTATATCAATCAGCATGCTTATTGTTTGCTCCAAAATCTTTTATTCTCTTTCTCTATCTTTATTTCATTTTTTTATCTAATAGAATATAATAATTTTTTGTTCGTTTTTGTTTTGAGCAAAAAAAAATCGTTTCAACGAAAAGACAACCAATTGTATCTTTCTTCAGTATCTCATTTGAACGACGATTTTAAATAAATTGAAGTATCAGATCTATCTGATGTGTGATATACTAAATAAATATAGGGCGGGTCGAAAATTTCGTCTCACCTTTTTATTTTCAGTCATGTATTGAAACTACACAACATTAATTTAATTTGTCTATATGCCTGTATAGTAGAAGTCAAGTACTATCTGTCTATCTATATATCTGTTTAATACGAAAAATCTTTCAATATAAACTATAACGAAAACAAATTAATTTCAATGCTAAGAAAGGAAATGACATAAAAAACTACAAATGATAATAAAAATGTTTGGAGTATCTTTTGTGGTGCAATATGGATTTATTTATATTGCATTTATAGAGCTTTCGACGGCGCATCTTTTGAAACAAACAATCAAGATGCTATCGCTTTCTTAAGCCGTCATATATGCAAAATATAGGTCTTTCGAACATTTTTATTATGTGAAATACAGTGAGAAGTAATTCTATCGTGTATTTTCGTTTCATTTTGAGTATGAAAGAAACCATCGAAAGAAGTCAATAGGATATTGTTCTTACAGTTTTTGTAGAGTTTTTCAAGGCACATCTGTTGAAAGAAAAACCAAGACTTTATCGTTTGTTTGTGGAGAGATATTCGCAAAGCAAACTATATTACAAATATTTTGGGACAACCAGTATTTCGCATTATTTAATATTTGTTCTAAAATACCGTCATTTCTCAATGAAATTCAAAATGATTTTTTACCAAAGTGATCAGTAAAAAAATTTCTACAAAGTCTGATAAAATGAAAAGTTTTTTGAATTCTTTGCATTTTTCGTGGTTGACTGAGAATGAATGTATCCTATAACCACAATATCATTTTGTAGTTTTTTATGCCATTTTTTTCTTAGCATTGAAGTTGGTTTGTTTTTGTTATAGTTTATATTGAAGAGTTTTTCGTAGTAAACAGATATATATATATGGATCGTACTTGATTTCTACTATACAGGCAAATAGGCAAATTAAATGAATGTTGTGTAGTTTTAATACTATTTAATTTGCTTGAATAAAATAATTGAATATATATATACTAAATGTTTTCGATTTTTTTTCTTGTTAAGATGCAGAGAATTTTAATATTGATAATTTGACGATAAATTCGATGAAGTTGATTTCATGTTGCTTCAGGCATTATGGAATAAACAAATGAAAATTTTTCACAATTTTTTATATATAAATCACGGATTGCTGTAAATGTTTCCTAAGAAAAAT